ACATTCCCCTTGGATATGTTTGTTCAGTGAATTGTGAGGTAATTATGTAAAGAAAGTAGCCCTCTTTCCACCGCATTAGGACGTCACCCAACTAAAATAGTGCCCCACTTTTCCTCAGATTAAACCGTGCGTAGTTTCATTTCCACCGCCTCAGGGAAAAGGTTTGCCAAGAAGATTGAGGAAAAAATACCTAAATCTGGTTCAGCAAGCAACCAGTTACAGCACTAGATTATTTGGGTTTCAGATGGGGGTGTGACGTCAGGTACACCTTAAGGATGGTAAACAAAATGTTGAAAGGGCTCCCAATGCGGATCGACATTGGAAGGTAAAACATTTCAACGAAAGATTTGTGTAAAGCTTTTGGACTATATAAGTCAGTTCATGCATGTGTTGCAAATTCTCTCTATTCCCACATTCTTATTTCTAATAAATGCCAGATCAATTCCTTATCTCTCTTTATTACGAATAATACACACACGCGCGCGAGAGAGAGAGCGCACGCAAAGACACACACACACAAACACGCACGCACACAAACACACGCACACACACACACACACACACACACACACACACATACACAAACACTTTCACACATCTGATGTCCAGGCTGGTGACATTAGTATCAGTACCATTAATTCGCAAGACGCAGCGTCTTTCGGTCTGCTGATCTGATATTAAGGTTTTGTTTTTGTGCAGCACGCATCATTAGGCGATTAGAACCTCATTCTCGGTGTTTGTTACGATGTTATGTTCCCGTGTGCACATTTGTTAACATATGTTGTTTGTAGTTCGAAGCACCTACAACTTACATTGAAATGTCGTCGCAACACCGTCTTCGCTCAACTGAATTAATCCTTTTTCCTCAGCTGGTTCAAAGAACTGTTGTTGTTTTCGTGTCTATCGTTGGAATGAAATGATTTTATGATATAAAATTCCACAAAGACAATTGCCGTCTTTGATAACCATGAATTCCATTCATACTCATCTAAAAACGCAATGCTTTGGCTTAAAACGATGTTGTTGTTGTTGTTTTCTATATAAAGTCTTTACCAACAGTTAGTTCACTATTCACCACTCAAAACCACTTGTGTCAAAGCATTTACTTATTATGCTCTTTTCCGATTTGCTGTAATATACGTCTTCTTCTATCACCCAATGTATACTCTTTGACCTCATCACGTTCAGTAGGAAATGGCATGTCTCAATCTGTACCCCCTTTCCCTCTTGCCATATTTCAGAGATATATATACTACTGTAGAGCTATGATCCAGCAAAGATGCACGATAATACTGACTTGATGTAAATGATGTCTGTTTCTGTTCTATCTATCTATCTATCTATCTTTTGACGTGTGTCTGGTCGCCTTTCTCAGGACATCATGCGCTTCACAGGCCGCTTTTTGAACCGGCTCGGGACATACTCGCGCCATAGCAACCTGGCAGTGGCGATGCAGGTACACCCCCCAAAAACTAGACACTGACGTAGTGTCTACCTCTGCTGTTGTCTCTGTCTGCATGGCCACATTACACACTTTCACACTTTCGCACTCCTTTCGAGGTGTGCAAACGATGCGAATTCGTTGAAGTCAACATAATATTATTACTCTACAGGCATACCAGGACGTCATTCGCCATTGAAATTCCATAGAAAAGTAAAAAGTGTTAATTGACATTGATATCTGAAAGCTTATTATCGCATTCTCTGGCCATTTCATATCTTATTCAAACGAATTTCTTTGTCGAATGACACTGTAACAGAATCTGCAACTTCAACAAATCGCATCGTATACACACCTGAAAAGCAACTTCATATAACAACGCAAGAAGTCTTTCAAAAGATGCAATCAATCGCACCAACTGCCATGAGTACTTACATTCTCATCTCACACTTGCACGGTTCACATCATTTTGTTCTTATGTTCACATTATCTCAGCAAGCGATCATACAGGCCGGCGAAGGTTAAGGTCGATCATTTTCTCTCTTCCCTGCACTCCCCACCCCCCTTCTCTCTCTCTCTCTCTCTCTCTCTCTCTCTCTCTCTCTCTCTCTCTCTCTCTCTCTCTCTCTCTCTTTCTCTCACTTTCTCTCTCTCTCTCTCGTTCTCTTTCTATCTCTCTTTCTTTCTTTCTTCCTTTCTGTCTTTGTCTATTTTCTGTCTATCTATCTATCTATCTATCTATCTATCTATCTATCTATCTATCTATCTATCTATCTATCTATCTATCTATCTATCTATCTATCTATCTATCTATCTAACTCTCTCTCCCTTTCTCTCTCTCTCTCTCTCTCTCTCTCTCTCTCTCTCTCTCTCTCTCTCTCTCTCTCTCTCTCTGTCTCTCTCTTCCTTCAGTTTTGGTCCCCTGTCAGTGTTAACAAAAACACCCCTCTTAAAACAAGCCAACAAAGGAAGGCTTCGTATTCATTTGCTTCTGACGTAGCAGACCATGGAAAGACATTCCAATTCAATTATAGGTTTTCCACAAGAACAGTCGCATGTCTGTATCCGGCTTGTAATTTCTGCCCGATGCATGAGCAGTCCTCTTGGCATCCTGGGTAGCTCACATTGAGAGAAATTGTCCTTTAGAGCTGAAAATATACCACACGGTCTCCCTGGATAAAGTAACATTCACAGCCCCCCCCCCCCCGCCATCCTCAGCCTGTCCTCTCTGTCAAATGTGGTGTGGAATAAAAAGAGAAAGATTCCGGAGAGACATTGTGGCACCCTTTTCTTCTGCATCACACCCCGCTTTGCATTTTGGAAGAACAGTTTGCATTTTCTCTATTCACATTTAACACGTGCGTGACACAAGGCTGGTAGAATAACGTATTTTTTATTAGATGCTCCGACGTTGGTTTTGAATACTATGAACGGTATTTGTCTCAATTTATAATCATATAGGCTATACGTTTGTGACTGGTAAAGTAATAATTTTACAAACTTCTAGTTCCGTCAGTTGATTGGGGCCTGGAACATAAAAGGCGCTCATTGCGTCCAAGTGGTGGTACATTATGATCATTTCTTTGAGCATAACTATTCTTTTTATATATTGAGTCTAGGGCTATAATTTTGACAAAAACGAATACTTCTTCGAAAGCTTTTAACCATACGGAACATATCAAATTATTCATTTACCTTTATAATACAAACGAAAAATAAAAGCTTAGAAAACAAAAATGTCTGAGCCGTATTGGCAATTGGTCATCCTAGAGAAGTTGTCAAGAATCGTATACCTTGTAAAAATAGTGCTGAAAGGTGTCCGTCTCCAAAATGCCAGATATCAGTAATACTGTGAGGGGCAAAACGTTAAAAATGTAAATGGCAATAATACTGGCTGGTGAACTCTGTATGTGAGACGGGGATCGTTTAAGACTTGTAATGAAAGAACAAAATCAATGCTTTAGTAGTGAAGACCTGGAGCTCTCGTCATATAATGTACAGAACAACCCATCCACAAGTAAAACCAACAATTTCATGAATACGATGCCTTACTTTGTTAAGATTTTACCAACGAACTTAACATAAAACAATATATTGAGCTCATAGACAGTATGCTCTTTTTCAATGGTGCCTATGTGGTGCTATATTTGGTGCTGCGCTGCGATCATGCCCATCGCGCAGTCCATGCATACAAGCCAGCTCTTTCCTGATGCAGCCTGTCCCTCCCGTGGCCGTGTGGCTCCAGTACTAACACAGCATGCGGTGGTGACCTCTTGTACGTGGATGCTGATCTAGCTAGCTTTACTCTTTCCTGTCTCTGGTCATGCCTTTGGCTCCTGTGCCCACTAACATTGTGACATGTTCTTATGTGGTCCATCTGAAACTAAACTGAATACAAGCCAGCTCACCAAAAGAAAGAGACAAAAAAATCGAAGACATAAAAGAATAGAAATCGTCTGAGAGCTGAGTGGGCTATTCTCGCTCACTGGAGCCCAAACTGTTCTGATGCGGAGACGATAAGACTACTTGAGGGATGTCTAAGCCTCTTATGCCTGTGGGCGTGCGTGGGGTTTGTTTGTGCTTCAAGCTCTAAGTGGGAATTTCGCACTGTGTGCTGTAGTCAAGATGACCCAGAGTAGAAACATGACGGGTACATCTGTCAAAAAGTGTTTATATGAGTGTTCTGGTCACTCAACTTTCATTTGGCAAACTGGTCTGCATTCAGTTCGTTTGTCTTATGCTTTTCTTCCTAGTATGTGTTCAACAGGCGATGTTACACTCATGGGTGGCGTGTCTACCAGCGGACCCCCTCCCTTCCCCTCCCACCCGGGCTGTTTCGATTTTTTCTTTATTTTTTTTTTCTTTTGGTGCTGCACATTATACTGGGAGTCTTTTTTTAATTTACGTAGCCATATTTGCAATACTATATTCATCGCATACGTATTATTTGTTTGTCTTCCCTAAGGAGAGATAGATACAAGATTTACAGAATATGGAAGATAACAACAATGGATGAATGTGGGCCGTATTGTGTATTGTTCCCATTGTTGTTCACCACAAAGAAGGTTCTAGAAATGAATAATTAAGATAATATTATTATTTTAGTATTTGAACAAATACGAAAGTATCCTCTGTCCGAGAATAAATGATAAGATTATATACCTGGATTGTTGCGAGCTTGACAAGACTGTGAATGCTACAGTGAAATATGATCGATTTGTAGATATAAAGGAAAGGGGCCATGCTTATAGAAATGCTCAGATATTCCCGAGTTGCTGAGAGCAGATAAAATTTGGCCTTACGTGGCCCTTGAGACGTAGTGGGGCGCCTCCCGAAATAGAGAAGGAAGCGCTACAAGCACCGTGTTTGGCTTCCTCACAGTGGACTTTGGGTGTAAAGATAGCGTTGCCAATACGAGGTCACAGGGAGTGATAGAGAGCATGTGAATGAGGGGGGAAGGACAACAAAATAGAGAGAGAGAGAGAGGGGGTGGAGAGAAAGAGAGAAAGATAGAAAGAGAGAGAGCGAGAGAGAGACAGACACACTGACACACAGACAG